ACATGACAGACACAGACACCGACCTGGACAGGATGTGTTTACCCTTGGCTGGTATCAAATTAGCGCCCAGACAGAGCACACACACGCACACACCCAGCGAGCTCTAGCTGGGCAACGCGGCGTATACGTAATTCAATTGGGGCACACGGTGCGTATGCTCAATGTCCATGCAGAAGCACGGAGAAAACTCTGTTTGCTGTGTAACTTTTAATGGGATTTCGCCTTCACCTAATCGCATTGGTTCACTTAAAGTTGACCAAGTTTTGCTTTAACTCTTTCAAGTTTCCAGCTTGCCTCTGGCCACCTTGCTTACCTTTTCCAATTAAAGACAAGGAAAGGTGACACAAAGTTTTAAGAACTAATTTGCTTCCTTGTATACAAATCAAGAGAAAAGGGTTTCCTTGAGGACATTATGATGTACCTTATTTATAAAGATAGATGGATTTGTAAATAAAATACAAAATACTTAAATTCTGTTAGATCTTCATGAGAGAATAATTTAATTGTCATGTAAATTTAAGAAATCAATAGATTTAACAACTATTAGTTTTTATAACTAAATCTATCTATACAAGATAAACAGTTCTTTCTATTATTCTATTAGTTTCAAATCTTATTCTAACTTTTTTCATTACCTAGAAGAACCAATCGTATAAAAAAGTTTCCTAGTCATGGTGCAAAGCTGCCCTTAGATTCCATCTCGTTCCATGGAAATTTGACTTTAGTTTTCATCAACTTCCAAAACTTACCCACTGTAGTCTCAATCCGATCTAAATCTCGACCTTGTTCAAGTCCACAACTTGCATATTCACGGACTTCATTTCCGTTTCCCATTATGGCGGGGCAGAATTCCATTTTCTTCCCCACTGATTGGGCCAGGACACAGGCACTCTTGCCGCCAGTCCTCATTTTCCGAGTAACAGGTGCACACGGAGGGAGAGCGGGGGATGGGGCAGCAGGTGAAAATGTGTGTATTTCGGCAGCTTGTTGAGCGTTTCGCTTTCGCAGCCCAGGATGGTTGCCCCGGGAACCTGGACCACGTATCTCTCATGCTCTTATCTCCGGCTGATTGCCTTTTAATTAGTTGTAAGCTGATTATGCAAATCAGGGCGCCAGAACATTTGCAATAAACGGCATACATATATGCTGTTGATATATGGCATCGATTTGGCAACGACTCTGCAGAAGCTGAGTCAAGTTTTATGGCCCTGTCAAGACCGGTATTAATGGTTAATGCCACAGTTGAACCTTCTTAAATGGGATAAAATACCTTTACAGATTTGCATAATAAATTTGTATATCATTTCGGAAAGTGAGACTTTCAAGAACCTCAACAAATATATTATATAATAATTTACATATTTTTGCATACTTAAAACATATATTTAAAAAACTTGACTTATACTAGATACCAAAATTACGATTAATCTACTTTTAGAATGCAAGTATCCTCTTCCAGTAAAAACCTGGACGAACCTCTCACAGCCGCCTACATTCCTCTCTTGTCTCTTGATTTATGTATATTTAATAATTCAGACTTTATCACTCCGAGCAGCAGAAACTTCCTCCGGAGCGCGGCCTGCCATTGCCACGATTTCACCCACAAGCCACCCGAAACTCACTTACTCATGTGACTGAACATAAAAATTCCGTATTCCACTTGGCTGCCAGCGAGGGAGGCGGACATGGTGGCCGGAAGGAGGACGTGAATACGGCGGAGTGCGAAGGGAAATATCACTTACAGACATAAAAATGCAAATTAGAACGAGATATGCTGCAGTCCAGCTGGGAGACGGAGGATGACATCTGTGGACCGCAGGAGCCAAGTGGGAAAACCGGGGAAAACTTTAACACCAAGCTGGAAGTGGACCGAAGCCGAAATCAAGAATGAATTATTGGGCCAGCCTACTGCAGGCCATTTCTGTGGCCTCGACGGATTATTAGCCATGGCTTAAGGGAATAAGTTTTGCCGAGGATGTGGTGGGGTCTGGGCAAAACTTTTGCGGAATTGTTCTGGCCCTGTTTTCCCGCAGATTCTTTTATTGTATTTTTGCGATTTTCGGCGCACATTATCGACACGTGCACTCGGTGATTTATGAAGTGAACAGCTAAACATTTAAATAATTACGTAATATCATGATTCAATGAACAGTGAGAGCCTGCAGTGATTAGCGGCATTAAAACCCTAAAATAAGGAGAAAAAGATGAAAGTATATTTTAAATCTGTTTAATCACTTAAAGCTTTTCATTCAATACATTTTAATTAAAGTACAAGGCAAGACCCCGTAAGGACACAAACAAAAGAGGCAATCGCCAATCTGTCACTTTCCTGTTTGACCACCTTGACCAATAAAAAATATATATTTTTCAATGCAGCTTTCGTGACTTTTTTCACCTCAACAGTATATAAGAGCGAGCATCAAAGGCCGTTTTTTCAATAACAAATTGTTTTCATTCCGTTGCTGTCAATCAAAAAGTGTCGAAAACATTTCAATAAGCCACGTTTCTGTCACCTGTTGCTCCTGCCGCTGCCACTGCCGCAAGGTGAGATTGAGTTGGCCATGTCAGCAGTTTAACGGTTCACTGAACACACACGTACATAGCACCAGCGAGGGGGAGAAGGACAGGGGGTGGAAAGGCCATCTCAAGTGTCAAATGAGCTGAACTAGAAGAAGTTCCAATAAAGAGATGAAAGCGGAGGGCAAGGACATTGAAATTGAATTTGCCTAAGGACATTTTCCCTGCTCACATTTTTTACTGTGCGTGTGTGTGTGTGGTTTTGGGGGAGGGGTGGAAAAGCTGTTAAATTTTAAGGTTTTTGCCTACTGGCAATTTGCATGCTTGTGGTTAAAGTGCTTATCATTATAATCAACACCGAAGCAAACGAAATTCGTGCTAGCAGAATGTGTCCCTGTGAAGTCGAATTGTAAAGTACCCTTTCCGACTAAAATGAGCAAGGACAATCATTGGAAAACCTTAAACTCTTTTAACGTAACTCTGAAACATTGTAACTGGAAAAATGACTAGCAAGTGCAGTTCTCAAAAGGGTTTTAAAACCATTGTTTATTTTAAACTTGCTTAACACAACAATCGTTTTAGAAATACAATTTCCAAATTCGAAAAGTTCTTTTCAGAAACTTCTTCCATAAGTAAATATAAAATAATTCTCTAAGTCAAAAGAGGATCCTAACTCTGATGAATTTTCAATTAAAAAGAATATAACTTCTAATTAGCACTCAGTTTTCATATTCTAGGAGCGCATTCCTACCAAATCAACTTTCGACACAACCGGAAAAACGCTTCCCTCACGTGCGGAGTGAGAGCATTTCATTGTTATGAGTATTGTTGATGGGACAAGCTCATTTTCCGTTTATTAACTTGATAACCGAGGGGAGAGAGGCGTTTTTTGGGGGTTATGGGAGCTCCCTTTGATACCGAAAATATATTTAGCTTATTTTTAGACTGACTGATAGGAAAGCGAGCTGTATGATTGCAAGCCATGACCCCAATGATACGGCTTGTCAAACCCCCGTTTCCACCCGCATGGAGCTGCATTAATTGGCATCAACTTTTTTTTGCTCTTCCTTCATTTCCTGTATTTGTCTGCCACTTGTCGATTTGTTTATTTCCTTCACTTGTCATCATTGATTAGGTTAATCACACTTGATACTGATAAACTCTATTGCAGGGCAAAGGGGAAAAGCGAGCGACTGCGATTGTTATCAATTATTGACAGTTGATAAAAGTTTGTGGCTATAGGTAGCACGTGTCCATTGGGGAAGCAGACTACATTTTAGGGGAAATAATAACAGCGCAGAGAGTAGATTTCTGTGTCGTAATAATATCCGTTGTTTTGAACTACGTTTGCTTACTGTCATATGTCAAGCCCCATGACTGCATTTCCGCCCCAAAGGATGTAGTATATATGTATGTATTCAGGGGATATGAACCCGTATTAGGGCGACCCGCCACTGACACCACATTCATCACTGAATTTCCCACTGACTTGGCGAACCCTTTGGCTCCCTGTCACGCCTCCTTTCGAAATCGTATAAACTTTCACGGCATTTTCTATTTGTTTCCCCTTTCTCCTTTTCAACATTTTTTCCATTCTCATTTTGTTTTGTTTGTGGCAGAGAGTAGCAAAAATTTCAGCGCTTCAACGCGTCCTTACAGGAGGGATGGATGGATGGATGAAACACACAACAAAAGAAAAAAAGGAGAACGAAAATCAAGAGCAGAAAAACAATAAAAATTGAAAGTCTTTTCTCGCCCCGAAAACTCATTTGCATAGAATTTTGCTGGGATAAACCAAAATACAATTTCCCCCATCCAAAATCATTGAATGTTTTGCCTTTAAAGCCCACTCCTGGATTGGCTTTTATTCATTGACGCATTTTATGCGGCTTTTATACATTTTTGATGGGTCACATAAAACTATTTATGAAATGCCGAAGAGCAATTTCTCTTTATGCCTGCCATATGCGTTTCCTTTTTGGTTGCACTTTGGTCTGACCATCTCTTATGTTTTATGGCCAGGACTCGGCTTTTATGGGATTGTCGCTGCCCCAAGATTCCCGTCTCGAAAACATTAAGGTTGTCCCAAAAACAAAAGTTAATGGGACGCGGGGGTGGAATGAAGTGGAATGCCTCCAGTGACATTCCAAATAAATCAATAGAAGAGCTGATAAATCACGGTTCCGCTCATTGATTAGCTAACGAAGCGCCTATAATATGTGGAAAAATGTGTTCCATGGAAAATTGAATTAGCCTGGCAGCTTTTAAAGGGAAAAGCAGATGGAAAATTCTAACGACAAATACTTGTATTTATATATCAAACGATTAAAATTGTTTGAGAATTTAAATTATTAATTTGTTGTATAAGTGCGGAAGTAGTTTTTCATGACATGACATTCATTGATAGACTTAACGATTTTGTCAAATTTATGAGATGAAATTGTCTTATTCTAAGCAAATCAAGTTAAATTTAGCAAACTTACCAAGGAGGCCGTAAGGAGAAGCCTAAAAGTCTGCGCCTCTATCGGATTTCGGAGTATATTAAATATTTAATGTGGCACGTTTCTTAAATTTCGCGTTGTCGTCTCGCGGGTCGCGTCGCCGCACGCCGTCACATATATGTACATATATATTTTATATATCCTGATGTTTTTTTTGTTTATTTACGACATTTAATTTTATATTTATGTACTTTGATTTTCATTACGCGATGCGGATTTGCGGCCCGCTTAACCTGCCTAAAAGAAGAGAGCAAACGGAGTGTGGGGATGAACAAGGAATGCGTATTAAGGAGCCCGCGATGCTCATATAATTCGGTTTTATTTGATTTGATTTCATTTTTTGCTGCGTGTTTTTATTTCCTTTCCGTTTTAGCGGGATTTCAACGGCAGAGGAGAGGGCACATCCTTAATATAGAGGCGTGACGGCCAAATCGGTGTCGGGATAAGTGAATCTCGACTCGTCATATAAAGCGATTCAGTTTCCGTTGCTCGAATTCAAGAATTTCTGTAGATTCCTTCAATTAAATTGCCTGCAAAATTTATGCGCTCAGCACAATTTGGCCCGAGTTTTCCACAGCCACTTTCACTTATTTTGGGCGTACTTAGCAGCATTTTCCTGCTCCGGGCTTCGGCAATGCATAACAAATTTAAACAGAAAAACACCTTTTGGTTTTCCTATACTGATAATGTTGATACCCTGGTATTATAATAATAGCAAAATATAAAAGAAAAATTGAAAATGAAAAGTTTATTTTATTTATGAGAAGACTGCCATGTTGATCTGTAATTCTTCTTAGGTATTTAATTTTACGAAAGTACATTTTACATTAGGGATTTCTTCTGGTAGGGCATTTAAAATACGCCGCGGCTTCTGAGTTATATTCATTAAAATTTGGTTCTTTCTGTAGGAGGTTTCCTTCGGCGGTAGTCCTTTCGCTTTTGTCTAGCACTGCTCGCTTGAATTAATTACACAATTTAAGTGGGTTTGCTGGCAAATCGCATTATAAAGTGGTTTCTGATGTTGCCCCTTTTCGGAGGCTTAAGTTGCGGCAGGTGCAACAGGAAAGGAGTTGTGCCACCGTTACCGCTGGCCCACCAGACGTATACTTAATGCCCCACGAAAGCGTTTATTCATTAAAATTGTGTAAATTGCGTGAGGCAGTATTAGCATAATAAATTATTGCTATGATTTTGTTGGAAAATTAATTCTGCTTGATAAACTATTACTGTTATTTGTGTGCCTAACTAACTTTAAATCATTTACAAATTTACTTGAAGAAACAAATAGTAAAGAGCAAATAACTATTAAACAAAGTACATTTTGTTATTTATTTTATTTTTTTAATTGTGAGCACTTATGGTGTATTTTTAATATACAATTTTGCCTCTCTATTTTACTTAATAAAAGTTGATTTTAGTGCTGGATTTCAGTATTGGATGACTTTAATTTATTAGCATTTAATTATTATTTTTATTACTTTTCCTACACTTAAAGCTGCTTCAAAATACTTTCAATATCAATAAACCGATCACAACTTAGAGACTCGGCGAAGATGCGCGAGGACAACCGACTGCCTCCAAAGGCAAATAGTAAATGACAGGTCCTGACACTTTTCCTGGCGATAGTCGGGACATAGTTGTGGCGACTAGTTGCCATTCGCTGCTGGGCTATTAAAAAGCCAACAACTGACGCCGTCACAGGAACGCACTTTGAATATTTTCCGAGGACCCGAAGGATGCGCGTTCGTAGTTCAGAGCTCAAAGCACGTAGCACGGCATTCGGAGCCCAACGAAACCGCACGCAACGTGCAACAGCCGCCAACTGATGGGCTTCATCTGCCATGGCCAAGTAGTCACCCACACAGCAGTCTCTCACACAGATACGCGCACACAGATACACCCTGGTTTGTTGATAACAGTTTTCGAATTTCGAATTCGCGTCGTCAGCTGCTGGCAGCCTCTGTTTTTGCTGCTGTGCCGCCTTTTTGTATACAAACAGTGGCCGAGCATCCTCCGGCAGGCACCACCCACGTAGGCCACCCACCAACCATTCAGCACCACCTTCGCCAGCAGCAACTTCCGTTCACCATGTTGCATGTTCGGCGAATGTCAAACGCATGCGCCGCCCAGTAGGCAACACTTTTTGCACGGTATCTGCGGGATTTGGACGTGGGAGTATTGACTTTACTTACTTACTAATGCACATACTTACAGGATAACGGAACTGAATTGTTATTTATATATTATGATAGACAGGGACATATGTCTTGGCATGGTTTTAATTACTTAACATGAAACATTCCTTTATAAACAATATAATTATTTATACCAACATAACAAAGTCTTAAAGCACAAAATGTAAGAGTATATTAAGTTGTTTTTAAAACTATCTTATTAATTATAGTTACACAGTTTTTTTTAAGTGTTTTTAATTGGTTTTTAGCCATATCAATTATTATTACCAGTTTAACAGCACAATAACTATCTTGACATATTATTTTATGCAAATTCACATTTTATTATATTATGGATTGCATTAATGTCTACTGGTCCTTAACATTTAATAGGTGAAGTACCTATTTAATAACTATTTAGATTATTAAATTATTTGATTTTCTTTGTTATAAAATATATTTTATATTTCAAATCTAAATAATGAGTATCTTTAAGTCGCATATCATACATTTTCCTTATGTTCCGCTTATGCCGCATCAAAGCAATCAACGCAACCTCGACTCTGTGTGGAAGCTTCTTTCGTTGTTATCTTTATAGTCCTGCAATATTTCCATGGCGGACTCCATCTGAGATGAGGGAGGTAGCCTAAAGCGGGGTGTCATGACATAAATTAGTCACATTTGACTCGGACGTCCCTTAACCTTAAGTCGACTAAGTTGGGCTGGAACCGAGCGCCTTAATTCGAAGCTGGCTGACTAACTGACTGGAGTTCACGTGCCCGGCCATGGTCGCTAATGAATTATGGCCAAGTTTTTAATTAAGCTCTTTATGGCGTGGCAAAAACGCTTGGCCTCAATTATTGTCGTTTATTTTCGTACACTTCATCGCGCTTTTTTACGTAGGATGATAGTTTTGGATAAGTCTGAATTATGATTTGATTATGTCCTTTTATTTTGTTGTTGTTGTTGTTGTTTTACAATAACTAAAAAAGTTTATCACACTTTATTAAATATGCCAAGTATAATATTTTTTTATCAACACATAATTTTAAGGTTGATTTATTTACATAGTCGCGACCAATAATTCGGTTCGGTTACCTCTTAGTTTGATTTAAATATATAAATTATTACTAAAAATGTATTATATTATTTAAATTATGTGGTGTAGTTTATGGTTTCTAATTTAAAATAGAACAAGCCGTTTTTCGCCCTGTATCCTTTTACCCTAAGATTATTTAAAATTGGGGTCATCCAAAAAATGTATCTAACAGGCACGTATGTCCGATCAAAAAATATTATATACTTTGGATTAGGATCACCAAGTTTGGTTATATGTAGAATTTAAATCTACTTTAAAGTCGATTGTAGTTGTCTTTAAATTTAAAACAAAAAATTTAAATAGAGGGCATAAAAGAGTCGAAACCACTCAACTGTAGCTTTCTAACTTGCATTTGCTCTTGCTTTTTACATGCAAAATGTTAAGAATTTGTATATATTTGTTAGTTTACCATTAAAGTATCTACTCTACATTATTTTTTGTTTGTTGAATACTTGAATTCCGTTTGCAAATACAACTGGCGAAAAATACTAATATCCCTTTTTTATCCTTGACCCAGAAATTTTTCAACAAAAATGTTTTGGCCATTTCAGTGGTCAGAGATAAAAGAATACGTGTGTGTTTGTAATGTTTTGTGTGTACCGCATGTGAGTTTAATAACAACAATTACAGCTTGAAGCTGTGACTATGAATCCTTGTGAATACTGTCTCTGCAGGAAATTGCAAAACTAAGTGAAACCGACGGTCAAAAAAGCTAAAAGCGAAAAAGGGGGTAACAAAATGTGATATAAATGCAAGCCAGAATGATTTACAGTTGGAAACATTTGGCGAGGATGTGTCATAAACAGAAAAACGTTTATTTTTGTTGTTGCTTTTGTTATGCCATTGTGCGCCTGTTATCAATGGATGTTTATCAAGGACACAAAAGGAAAATCGCATCAAAGACATTCAAAGCAGACAAGGCGACAAATAAGAGGGAAACCGGAAGAGCCGAGGCAGAGGCAATAATAATATAAATGCCATTTGACCTTGTGCACCGCACCGAAAGTCAATTGCTGATGCAGCGCCACCTGGCGACAGACTAAGTAATTCATCTTTAATGCTTTCTTCTCGTCTGCTTTCCTTCCTCTCCTCTCTTTTGCCTTACTTTTGCTCCATCTTATAACTGTGAACAGAAAGGGAGAGAGAGAGAGAGAGAGAGAAAAAAGTCCAATGATGTTGAAATATTTGGGGTTAGCAGGAAGTCACTTATTTGACCCAGTTCTCCGCATGCTATCTCCATCTCTTTCGATTGGTAAATGATTGCCTGTTCTGCACACACTTTTTAATTAATAAACATAAAAGCGACAACGACTAGAATAGTGGGAAATAAAAGGGAGCTGAGTGGAATTGCGTGTCCATCTTCCAGTTTTAATTGAGGTTAAGTGAGCGGACATTAAATTGTTTATAGGGCAAGGTTGCGACAAAACTGCTCAAACTACAATATGTAAAATATGAGGTTTTTATGCGAAAAACGAATCGATTTGAAGGGCAACTTTTGGTGGTCAGTTTTTAGAATCTATAGTTTAAAAAAATAAGTAGAGCAAGGTGAGTAAGGCCTTCGTTAATTTCAAAAACGGACTTTTAGGCTTTTATAAAGTTTTGTTATGATTTTGTATAAATCGTTTTATAACGTTATATAAGAAAGTTTTCGTATAAATAGTTTCTCAAGGGGAACTGGTAGTTTCCGGCAATTAAATTAGGATTTTAAATTAAAATTAAAATATTCTTATGAATTCTGTGGATTTTACATACTTAACAAAAATTAAACACGGATGCAAACAAACAAACTACAGTCGAGTCCCGATAATTCGAAATGGCAGGGGATCACTTTTTTTTAACGAATTAGACGGGAATTCGATTTATCGAGATTTCTATTTAAAGGGGCTTAAAAATGAAAGAGTCGAATAAACGGGGTTTTTACATTTCACATCATGTTTACACATGTATTTAGCTTAATTAAAATTAAGAAAACATAATAAATATGTACATTCATTTGTACTTTTTTCAAATTAAAGGAAAATTAAACAAAAAATTAACAAACAAAATTAAGCAGAAACATTAAATTATTAAAAACGAAAATTCAAGCTTTAAAATAATTGGTAATTTTTGATTGCTTCGTGTTTTTTCTTTTATTTTTTCCATTGCGTTTTCTAAACCTATTAGGTTGTCAAACACACTATTTGGCACATCATGAGTCGAAAAATAATGTTTAAGTTGAGGAATTAATGCTCTGGTTTGTAAATTCTAAAAAATTTCTTCTCCGTTCTGATTTCTGCAAAATCTAACAAAATATATCGCATCGCATTACGATTTATAAGACGTTACGAAACAAAATTACGATTTATAAGAGGTTCAATATTCTTTGCGTTGCGCCAAATACTACGAATTAACGAGGGGACCAAAATGTATGGAATTTTTACGAATTAACGAGTTTTTTTCAAGGGGACAGAATTTTTTACGAATTATCGCGATTTTCGATTTAGCGGGGTACGAATTATCGGGATTCGACTGTACATATGTATATATTCATATATAAACTTAGATGTCTAGAGTCTAAACTGACTAACGTAAAACATTCAATACAACACATCTGATATCACTGTGAAAACTTTTGAAATGAAACTGAAATTGGCAAATTTGTTCTTATTCGACTGTCAGATATGAACATCTACACATACGCTTATTATTATAATTTGGGTACGCCGAAGTTTGAGAAAACAGTCAAACATTTGAAAATATCGGTTTTAATGTCAAAACTATTAATTTAAAATCTTTTAAAACTACTATATCACAGACCTAAAATATTTAACCTATATGTCGAAAAACAATAAACTAATGTATACTTTCATTACATTTTCCTATACATAATATATTCAAAATTTTTAAATTTCAGTTGTAGTCTACAATTACCAATCGTTTCTACGGCAAAAATGTATATACAAACTATTTAACAAAATCAGGGTCAAATAGATGACTCACCTTTCTATAAGAAGCCGAATCGTGCCGCCGAATGATGCCAAGACAATAATCAACGTATCGACTTATCCTTTCGAGAGTTGCCACATCCATGATGAAGAAGATACGTAGAATTATTTTAAATCTATAATTAGGATAAAGGTTAATTAAAACTCATAAAGTATGTTTATGTGATTTTCGTACGTATGCATTCTAGAGCTGAGCTCTGTTTTGCCTTCGTTGTGATCGGAAAAGTAGTGCATTTGGTTTTTTACTGTCACAATATTAATGGTCGTTAATATAAAACGTATCCCGTTCAGTGCAATGAGTGTTACATGTGGCCAGACAAAATATGTGTCCCAAGTCGACCCTTGTGATTAAAAGAAAATTCGTTCGTGAATATCTTGCAAACCAAGTCATAGCTTTGATGAAAGCCTACGTTTTACGTCACAATACTCCCAGCCAACACCCGGTATCAAACCAACTTTGCTGGGCTCGTCATCCCAAAATTGGTCCATCAGGAAAAGGAGTCCCGTCATGATAGTAGCAGTTCCCCAGGAAAAGATGCTGTAGGACAGGAAGCTATGTCGAGACTCAGATTGATTTAACGATCTAAAACCTTTCCACATCTGATAGCTCAAGGCAGACACCCAAATACGTCTGGCCGCAAGGAAAAAGTATAAAAGGTAGCCTGAAATTCAAGTGTAGTTAATAAACTTAACATTTAAATTTGGGTCGTCATACTTTTATAAAATTAAACCGTATTTCTAGAATCAAAAACAAAACAAGAAAGGAAGCTAACTTGCCGAATATATTTATTTAAAGTTTTAGATATTCCTCTATTGTTAACGATCGTTTTTATGGCAGATATATGATATAGTAGGCCGATTTTCATAGAATTTTACACAAAATTCTAGACTTATATATAGCGGCTGTATATAAAATTTGCTGAAAATCTGTTATAATTTTTCATTGCATTAATTTTTCGATCGTTCCTATGTCAGCTATATGATATAGTAGTACGATTTTTATAAAATTTTACACAAATTTGTAGATTGTATAAATTTGATCAAAATATGTTGAAAATTTAAAAAACTTTAATTTTTTTCTTTGCGTAGAAACGAACAGACGGACGGACAGAAAGAAGGAAAAACTTCTGTAAATTATATTAATATTATATATTAACTAAAGTATATATATATATATATATATATATATATATATATATATATATATAACCATGGCGCTACTCAAGCGCATACAGAAAAATTTATTTAAATCGGTCAAGCCGTTTAGGAGGAGCTCAATGACATAAACAAGTACAGCAGAATTATATACATAATATATAGTAAAGTGTTGATATTTATTTGAGTCGAACTAATGTCCCGTCAGTTGACTAAGGACAACGCCAAGTTGAATTAATAAACGAATATTTAGGTTCACGTCCTTATTCAGATGATCTCTACTGTCCTTTGTTTACATAAGTTGGGGAGCGAGATCGCCCGCTTGGGATATTGATTGTACATAGTAATTTGAGAGTGAGAGTGCCACTCAGAGAGTGGGACTTAGCCATTTAAAGAATTATTTATGTTATTGAGAAGCCGCATTGCCTGCTCCGAATGTGGATTGTTTACATTGGTTAAGCGTGGGATCGCCTACGCTGCAGATTCATAATTCTTGGTACATAACGGAATTTGTGAATATGTCACTATATAAAGCTAAGTAGTCTTCGATGCTAAGGGAAGAGTATCCTAAGTAATTCGAAGGCTTTCCACATTTATTATTTCTTATAAATTAAATTTTATCTTCCTAGCGGTTTCAGGAAAACCCCAATAGTATTTTATTGCTGATTAATAGTGCCATAACCAAATATTCGGAACATTGAGTTCTCCTGAGGAAGTCCCCTAAGACATATTTCTACACAGAGAATATGCGGGAATACAAAAGCAATTAAGCATAAAGCTTTAAACCATATTAACGCATATTTATGCTACCTTGGAGTAAAAAATGTTTTGAAAAATGTACTTATTTCTATTATTTATATTTTCACAATCTACTTGAAAAAAAACCTTTGATTTGGCGTTAAGTTGGTGTAACAAATTCTCCGAAATAACACATGCTTGAATTTATTGTTTTTCTCTCCAGTGTATGTGTTATTCCCTCTGTATATTATATTCGGCCAGCAATTATTGGGACTTAGTTCTGAAATGGACTCTGCCCCAAAATGAAGCTTCAGCTTGAATATCTTAATATATTTGTGGTGCTTTTGATCCTGCACACAACGAAGGCGAAAATTCCCGGATGCAACTACTTGGAAACTGTGGATCTCTCGTTCAGTTCGAAGCTTCCAAATGGGACCTATGTATACCGGGATTACTTACCAGTTCCTCGTCGCTTAAATGGCCAGTATGACTACATAGAGACTGAGAGAGGAATCAACAAAAGTGTGGAAAGACACACGCGAGAATGTATCTGCCAGCTGAAACCCTGTATCTGGATCTGTTGCCGATTCAAGGACATGCAGCCGAATGGCGAATGCACTGATGGCCTGATGAAAGAACTGGGTGAAATCAATCCCTACTTGAATGTGACTCTCCTTAACGGATCCGTGGTCAGAAGAAACTTGCTCTGCGATTTCATAGTGCTAAGAGATTCAATGCGTTTCAGAGACATTTGGAAGAAATACGAGTATACATTATTCGAGGTTTGTTGTCCTATGTCCTGTCCTATGTTTCTCAGACTAATTAGAGCTCCTTAGAACGGAAGTGTGTTGCTCAGAGGCTGCGACAGCGAGAAGAAGGCATTCAGGGGGTATGACTGTCTGCACCCGAACCAGTTCAGTTCAGGAAGTACAGGGTACTTTTTTGTGGCTTTTCATGAAAGCGTTTATAACCGGAACCCAGATACTCTGCGACCCGGAGCAAATGAGCGTAAGTGTATATGGCCGATTGAGATAGACCTTGGTCTTACTTATTTTTTGTATCTGTTTAGTCATTTTGCTTTCAAAAGCATTATTGGTTCTGACGATAACAGTGTATCTCAACGTAGAGAAGCTCCGGAACCTGCACGGCAAGATCTTCATCAGTTACATGTTCACTGTGTTTATGTTTCTACTCCATAAGTGGGTGATGCAGTTTCACATACCCTTGTTCTTTTGCCGTTTTCGAGGTTGGTTGTTTAATTTTATGATTATCCATTAAAAGTTTAATTTTAAATGTTATGTTTATTAACTACACTTGAATTTCAGGCTACCTCTTATACTTTTTCCTTGCGGCCAGACGTATTTGGGTGTCTGCCTTGAGCTATCAGATGTGGAAAGGTTTTAGATCGTTAAATCAATCTGAGTCTCGACATAGCTTCCTGTCCTACAGCATCTTTTCCTGGGGCACTGCTGCTATTATGACGGGACTCCTTTTCCTGATGGACCAATTTTGGGATGACGAGCCCAGCAAAGTTGGTTTGATACCGGGTGTTGGCTGGGAGTATTGTGACGTAAAACGTAGGCTTTCATCAAAGCTATGACTTGGTTTGCAAGATATTCACGAACGAATTTTCTTTTAATCACAAGGGTCGACTTGGGACACATATTTTGTCTGGCCACATGTAACACTCATTGCACTGAACGGGATACGTTTTATATTAACGACCATTAATATTGTGACAGTAAAAAACCAAATGCACTACTTTTCCGATCACAACGAAGGCAAAACAGAGCTCAGCTCTAGAATGCATACGTACGAAAATCACATAAACATACTTTATGAGTTTTAATTAACCTTTATCCTAATTATAGATTTAAAATAATTCTACGTATCTTCTTCATCATGGATGTGCCGTGGAGCGTGCGCCTAATCTTTCTCTATCTTGATTGGGCATCTCTCGAAAGGATAAGTCGCTACGTTGATTATTGCCTTGGCATCATTATCTACGTGTTGTTTATTCTGAAGCGGTGCACGATTCGGCTTCTTATAGAAAGGTAAGTCATCCAAAATTGACCTGCTTTTATACTAACCCTATTGATCTTGACGCAGTATGCGGAATAGATGAGAACAAAAGGAGACTTTGGCAAGACTGTTGCAATACGAAAGGTAAAAATGCACATACTCGTACAGAAACATGAGCCTGCAGAAAAAATAAAAATATCCAGTTTGGACGCCGATAACATAATCCTTCCTTCCATTAGAACGATCGGAAAATGTTTAGAAAAAATATTATAACTTTTTCGGTTTACAACATGTTTTCATCTACTTTGATACAGACTTTGACCAGCAAAGAAACACAAATACATAACTGAACGAACCTTTGTTTAGTTTCTTAAGATAAAAAAATATATGTAATACATATATGTATTTTAATTTAATATTTTATTATATATTTTAAAACCTATAAAAAGTAAATAATGTTTGTCAGACTAAAAATCAGAAGACAAAAGTGGAGAGAAACATTTAAATTTTAAATTTATAAATAATTTTGTACCATCTTGCCGTCGATACTGCAGTATCCAATTGGAATGAGCCGACGGTAAAATGCGGTAAGCAGGGGAAATTGGAGCAAGCAGGACACAATTATAGCAAGCAGTTCAAAAAGCAGTTCGCAAAGCCAAGGGGCCAAAAATAAAGAACAACTACTTAATATTGTATTTCTCTAATATAAAGCAGTGCGTACATCAGAGCACTGCTTTTCAATTACTTTACATAAAGAGCACTGCTTCTTATTGCATTCATTGCAAAAAGCTGTTGATTACATTACCCATCGTGCTGTTCAAATATTCAAATCTCCGAGGTCCTGGGTGCTGTGTAAAAAAAATGCACTATACACCCAATGCGTTTTAAAACAGTTTAAAATATTTTCTTTATTCGTTTTTCTCCTCGTCATCGATGTTATATCCCCACGATTACGGTCACACTTTCTGTGTTTTTTTCTGTGCCAGGCACGGTATCTTTCAGTGTTGCCAGTGATGAGCCCTCAAATAACCTAGATTCTGATAAAATGTAAATGTAAATCTAAAAACATGGGGATGTTAAATTCCAGATTGTTAGCAAGTAAATCGTGTACTTTATTGTTTCATTCAATAAGTGGTGAGAAATTGTCATTAATAAGAGATAATTATAGTGTTTTTTATTATTAAACTTTTTTATGGACAACACAACAAAATAAAAAGTTTATTGACATTTTTCTTTTCCCCTCTTAAGTTGAAAGCTTTCTCAAAAGATGTAAATAAACCATGTCCGTAAATACAGATTAAATATTTGTATTTTTTATATAAAAATATATATGTAGTATATATATCTACATGTATTTTATATAATTTATAATGAAATAGCTAGATTAACATTAAAATAAGCTATTATTACGGCTATAAGTTATGTTATGAAGTAAGCTGGTCACACTGTTCGGGAACGAAACACCGCATCAAATTTGTTTTCCGTGGCCAGGATTACTGGATAACTGAGACAAACGACCATGGCGGACGACACCAATGAAGACAGCTGGCTCTACGGCACCTCCAACCCGGACTCGACGACCGGCGAGTTGGGAAACAGTGGCGGCGGCGACGCGCTTACGGCGGAACACGAGGCTGCGGCAGAGGCCCAAGCGCTGGCAGCCGTTGTGGCGGGCGAAAAGCCAGGCACAGCGTCCGGTGTTGATGCGGCGGGGCAGTCGCCGCTCTTTCCGAAGGAGGAAGATCCCGAGTACTCAGAGTTCGATGATCCTGCACAGGAGATGGAGGAGGACGAGGAGGCCCTGCCGGACACTACGGAGAGCAGGAGCAGGAGGGAACGCGACCGTGATCGCGATCGAGAGAGAGATCGAGATCGAGATACAGACCGGGCGGATGCGCACTCCTCACCAGAACCGGAGGACGGAGAAATGACCGATGGCCCCAGTTCTAGGAGAGAGAGAAACGGCTCGGGCTCCGACGATGACGACGACGACGATTCGGATGACGACATAAACGTGGTAATTGGGGACATCAAGCAGGCGCCGAACACCTACAACATCAAGCAGCGTCCAAATCTGTTGGCCGGAGGTACTGGAGCCGCCGGCGACAAGGCAAAACCGGCGGGTCAGGCGGGCAAGTTCAGCATAGAGGACTTTGAGGGCGCCGGAACCATAAATGGAGTGGCCGTGCACGAGTTCAGCATCGATTCACTGGAGGAGAAGCCGTGGCGCAAGCCAGGAGCGGATATCACGGACTACTTCAACTACGGCTTCAATGAGGAGACGTGGCGCGCTTACTGCGAGCGCCAGAAACGCTTCCGTGTGGCAGAGAGCGGCGTTGGACTGGCCAGTCTGACGCAGAACGTAACTATAAGTCAGAGCACTCCAATTGGCATCCTTACAGATGGCGGCATGGGCATTGGCCCGCCCGGCATGCACACCATTCAGCCCATGGTGGGACTGGGTGGAGAGGGTGGCATGCAGATGCCGCCGCCGGGAATGCCGCCGCCCATGATGCAGCACCAGTCACGGTCGGGTATGATGCAGCGGCCACCAAGGCCGATCTCAACTACGGGCAACGAAAGGGGCGGCGAGCGAGGAGGAGGCGGTGGCGTCAAGGAAAATGCTATCCAGGTGATGACCGCTGAGTGCCGGGAGTATTCACGCGGTCTCGGGCCTATGGCTCCAAACTTCCCGCCACCAGGCGCCTCAGAAGAACCCTTCTTCCATGAGCCCGAGCCTTTCGATTATGGTTACGAGCCCACCCAGGAGTCGCAGTGGGGCAACGATAATGCAGGCTGGGTGCCCAGCGGGATCAAGGAACTGACGCCAGGTCATGCCCACATGCAACAACCGCCGCCAGGAATGCCGCCGCCGGGTATGGGCGTGCCACCGCCACAGATGGGCGGTCCGCCGCCTAATTTACGGGGCATGATGCCACCCAACATGCGCATGCCGCCTAATATGGGTAAGTCATGACTATTGTACATATATGATCCCTTAAAGCTATCTCTTGAGATATATTTCAGGCATGGGACCGCCTCCAGGAATGATGATGGGCGGCAATGGACCTCCACAAATGCGAATGGGCATGGCACCGCCACAGAGAATGGCCATGGGAGGTAAGAATGAAGGAGACTTTACCTAAAAAGTTTTTCTTTTATTTATTATAATTTTTGTTTGCTTCAAAGATCGTGGCAATTACGAAGACGACCGTGAGCGCCGACGGCGCGACAAAGACAAGCAGCTGAAGAAGGATCAGGTATGGGTCAATTTAGGCACTTAAATATTTTAAAACTAATAGCAAATTAATGTTATTAACAGCTACGTAAAGATTTTCTGGACATGCTGAGGGAACGTCATGACATCGAGCGGCACACGCGGTGGTATGACGTGAAGAAGAAGTTTGAAGCGGATCCGAGGTACCGAGCTTTGGACTCGTCGTATCGCGAGGAGTACTTTGAGGACTATCTACACATGTTAAAGGAGGAGAAGCGCAAGGAGCGCGACTTTAAGGAACGCGAGCGGCATCGCGAAAAGGAACGATCTCGGGACAAGGACAAGGAGAAGGATAAAGATAAGGACAAAGATAAGGACAAGGACAAAGACAAGGACAAGGACAAAGAGAAGGATAAAGATAAGGACAAAGACAAGGATAAGGACAAGGAGAGTTTGCGTCGGGAGCGCTCCAGATCCCGAGAAAAGTCCAGCCGCCGCAAATCCAAGTCCCGTGAGAAGGATCGCAGCGAACGCAGCAGCAAAGGAAGCGGCAGCAGCTCGACAACGTCCACGTCCACTCGCAGCGAGAAGAAAAAGTCACATCGCAAGGACAAGGAAGAAGAGGAATAGCATTTGCTTGGGTACTATTTTGATGACGCCCAAGAAGCAACTCCCTAGGCTGCCCACCCTACACAAATAACAAAATTAAAATCCAAACGAATATCTGATAAAAACACTTCCAATAAACGAAGAGAACCGTAACTATTATTGATGATAGGTAAAACAAATGGAAAGTTGGATGAAGATAAATACACTTTGTATATTGTATAGGAAACAAAGTAGTCTTAATTGGGTATTTTCAATCCTGGAATTCCTGTTACGCATTAAACCATGGTGGATCATAAGATTTGTAGGCTTTCTTTTTATACTCCTGAGCGAGGGGTTTCAAAGTTTTTGTTTTTCGTATTAGACATTAGGCATAACTCTCCACATAGAGCTGAACAAGCCCCAAGGTATTTTGTTTTTAATAGATTAATGGAATGCTTATCAACCTTTCAAACAAAAATAAATACATTAAAATATTAAAAATATACAATATTCGGTCAGCAGATCTCTATTATGTGTTCATTGACACTAAAAGCAATATTTTAGTGTTCTTAATGCTAAATTAACGAGTGAATATAGGGAAAAAAGCGACAAATATGATTTAAAATTGTATGCATATTTTATTTCACTCATTTACACACAACAATAAAAAAGGCAAGTAAAGGCAGGGCTAGACTTACCACGGCATCATTTAATCCAATTCATGTCAGACAACTCAGCGGGGATATCGACCTGGTTCGTTATTATTATCTGCGACATTTTGAATAAGAACATCATGTGGATTTTTTAATAGGTTTATGCATTTATTTATTTGTGTACACATAAATGTGTTGTTCCGGTGGAGAATGAAATTTACATTTGAAATTAAACAACTTAAACAACAAGTGACAGCCACACAAATGCGGTCTTAATTAACACAAAATAAATGCGTTTGGCTTTCACAGATTCATAAACAAAACAACGAAAGTAAATACATATTTTATTAATCTACTAAAATTAGTAGTGAATGGCATTGACTTAATTGACATGGTAATTGTCGCAATAAATCCTGAGTTCTGAACAAACCAAAAATTGAAATAATTAGATGTGACTGAAACGAATTCGGATTTTCTTAGATCTACGGTCGGGTTAGTTGTAAAACTTTTGTGGGTTAGTTTGAGTTGGCTTTGAATTACATTCTGCTTGAGTTAGCTAGGACTAGGGACTATATGTAGGTATATATATTATAACTGATATTTTAGTTTGATTTTCTCTATGTGGATAGACTTCAGTTAATGTTCGACACACATGCACTTGATGGGAGTAGTTTACAATCCGACTACGCTAAGACATCATTATCGTAGAGCGGTTACAAAATATACCATATATCGTAGACAGTGAGACAAACCCTATTCGATCTCCTAGTGACATCCTATAATGGCATTCCTCCACATACTTGGTTTGCGTTTATTTAAAAGTAACAACGATTGTCTTTAGAAAACTAAATTCACGTATGCGAGACTTATTCGATAAAGATGTTTGAATATTCGCTAATATTCACTAGTATTCCCACTGAATTCAAACTCTAATTACTTATTTGATTCTCAAAAGGAACATCATGTACACATATTTCTATATGCAGCGGTTTATGTACTCTATATATTTAGTTTAATTGAAAAATCCATGCTAGTGGAACAGAGAAACAGCCCGAATGCTCAGATCAGATCAGATATATATAGTATGTATGTAGTCATTTTGATACTAGACAAGTTCAGTATAAAAGTTTAAGATATTTAGCAATTTACTAAGTTTTTCTCTGAGGTTTCTTAAGAGAGTTAATTATTTTTCAAGATGTGTGTTTGCCTAGGCGTATGCCATTAAGTAGCCATTAATTTATTTACGACTTGTAGAAAAAACGTATGAAAATTAACAAAACCATCCAGGAAAAAGCTACATTTTCGAAAGTCAAAATAATATAAATTAATATAAACTTTGAAGGCATTTGATGTTTCGTGGGAAGGCTTCAACAAAGATGTTTATTTCAAAAAATAACCATTTTATAGATAACAAGTGGAAGAGTTATCCAAATAAAGAAATCCAAGCAATCAGAATTGGATTAATTATATTGACTTGTACTACTTTGGCAACTTAGAATGAACAATCGTTAACTCATTTGATTGAATCTAGGGTCTAGGATCTACGCATTCCTTGGCGATTTGCTGATGTATTCTATGAAAAATGGACAATGACTCGGGTACTAACCACAACTTGAACTAATTCTCAACTAAATTGTACTTTCATTTGCAGCTGGAACCAAGTTGGCATTCGTTGAGGTACTTTGCTTTCCACATCACAACATTGGCAAATCATTCACATACTCTCTCACACATCACTCTGGTGGCTAGACCCTTAAGGACTCAAACTAAACAAGGATGAAAGTGAAAATTGACATGGCTCGATATCGCTATCAAAAGCAAAATAAAAATATATAAAGTATTGCTAAGATGTACAATTATACAAGCAAGAACTGTAATATAAATTAAATTATTTAAACACTTCAAAAACTGAAACCTAATATGACGAATAAACAAATAAAAAATTTGATAATAGTTTTGGTAATTTTAATTTAAAACTAAAGTTACTAATTGTTCTCAAGGTTGTACCACCATTTTACACTCACACCCGCTCACACACTCGCTCGCACACACACTCAAACTGGGTTCGGATGAGACCTAAAGCTTTGTTTGGCCGCCCTTTTCCGGGGGCCTTAGATTGTGCCCTATCTGCTCAGCAGCTGCTCCACGTTTAGGGTCAGCTCCTGGCCGGATCGGCTCCCGTTATTGTTGTTGGGTGCCACTCCATTGGAGTTCGAATTGGAATTGGAATTGGTGTTAGTGTCGATGTTGGTGCTGGTGTGACTGCTATTGGCACTGTGGGCACTGTGGGCATACATCCCGTTCAGGGTTCGGGAGGGCGCCGGCGAAGTGGGGGCAGACAGCTGAGGTGGACTCAAGGAAGGCAGCGGGGGCAGCGGCGGCGACTGAGCCTCCAGCGTCGAAGGCGGACTGCGGTTTAGGTTGCTGTCCAGGCTACTGTGGTGTTGCGAGGAGGCCGGGGACAGCGGGATCTCCTCGATCTTCTCCAGGTCCTGGGTGATCGAGGCGGAGTTCTGCTTGTGGGCCCGGGTCAGCGTTCCCTTGGGACTGCGGGAGGTGTCGTGCAGGAGCGGTATGTCCAGCATAGAGCACTTGACCCCACTCCCTCCGCCGACAGCAGCAGCACCGGAGCAAGCCACCAGGGAGGAGTAGTTGGTGGCCTGCAGGGAGTGCTGGTGGTGCTGTTGCTCTCCCTTCGCCTGCTGGTCGTCGCGGTCCAAGCTGAACTGGCGACGCAGCAGGCGACTGGAGCCGGGCTTGCTGTCGAAGCGGGCGGCGCCTCCCACGCTGCCGCTGCCGCTCCCGGTTCCGGCCATCGTGGGGCATACGCCGCCGCTGCCCTGTCCGCTGCAATGTCCGCTTCCGGCCCCGCCCCCCGCATTCCCGTAGAGGTATTTGCCGTCATAAAACTGCGTGAGGTTGCTTTCGCTGGGACTGAGGCATTTGTAGTGGTTGTACGGCGAACTGAGGTCCATCATCTCCTCGATCTTCTTGTACAGCCTGGAACTGGAGCCACCCGTGGAGTTTGGCAGCCGGTTGAAGCTGTTTGGATTCAGCAGATTATCCGGTGTCAGTTCGGAGAGTTTGCGGGACTGGGGACTCGTGCTGCTCGGCGTCGTTTTGCCTGGGAACTCTGGGCACAGCGTAGCGTTGGGGCTGATGGTGTTGGTGGAGTTGGAGTCCAGGGAGTACGAGTTGGGCAGATTTGCCCCAGAGCCTAGATCAGCGTTCGTCGGCGGGGTTATCTCCACCTTCACCTCCACGGACTCCCCGGCCAGCGAGGAGCTCTGAGACGAGGAAGGGTTCGTGCTCGTCCGGGATTTGTTTGCCTGCGCCTTGAGGGTGATCGAATTCCTTATGAGGGACTCATCCAAGCTGGGAAATGATTTAAATATTAATAAGAAGGCTTAAATATTCGAGGATTAACTGTTGGACACCTACCCGTGTGACTCTCTAGAAGGGGTTTTGGGAGTGTGTATGGTAAAATTTAGTTATTAGTTTAATATCAGTACAAAGCTAAACCTATATTAGCCAGTAAGAGCCAACGAAAAGGTACATTTAAATAGAGATAAGCAGTATTTTACGGATTTATATACTTTTTAGTAATTACTTTTTTAATATCCTCTTATTTCTTGAACCCAAAGAAACTAAACATAACCAAAAAGTTTGTGTGATTGTATTGTTTTGATTAGTTGCAAACAAATAGTTTTAAATCTTTGCAGATTAAAAATTAACAAAATGAATATATAAGAAAGCCTTAAGCTAAATGTTGTCAATAAATACTCACCCGATCGGCGGAGGAGCTGGCAACGGCTTGTCGAATCCCTTCTTGCCCAGCAACCAAAAGGTGTTCATCATGCCCTTGCCCTTGATGTCAATCAGACCCCTTTGTTCGATGGCATAGCCACCTCGGGCCTCCAGTCGGTCCCTTGTCTCCTGAGACATGTGTATGCGCCATGAGGAACCTGAGAAGACAGAATTCAATTGTGACACATGCCCCGAATCGGGATGAGCTCCCATTACCAGTTGACTCCATTCGGGATGCTGTGTTGACCGTGTCCCCGAAGAGACAGTATCGGGGCATCGTGAGACCGACTACTCCTGCACAGCAGGGACCTGTGTGAAGTCCAATCCTTAGCTGGAGAGGAACACCTGGCAGATGCTTTACATTGAAGCGGCCACTCTGGTGGAGCAGGTCCAAGGCCATGGTGGCGATCTGTTCGGCGTGATCGGGTATCTTCACGGGCAGCCCACTTACTACCATGTAGGCATCGCCAATAGTCTCCACCTAATTAGGAAAAATATCCTAGTGAAAATAAAACTAATATTATATCTCAAGGGACCACTCACCTTATACACATTGTAGGCATTGATCGTGGCATCGAAAATCGTGTAGAGATCGTTGAGCAAATCCACAACCTGCACGGGACTGCAGTGGGCAGCGATTGTTGTAAAACCAACAATGTCGCTAAAGTATATAGTCACGTCGGAGAACTCCTCCGGGTCGACGGCCAAGCCCATCTTC